AACATCCATATACCAAGTTAAAAAGACCAAAACATACCAATCCAGAGGTTGCTATTATCGAAGATTCTCCGTCGAACGTAGATTTTGACAACCCAGAAGAGATTCGTGTAAATGTTGATACAGCAAGTACTTCACATGACACAGAAGAACTTACACAACAAAGAAAGTTTCAACGAAACGTAGCAAGCTATTTTCCACGTCCAATAAATATCCCGCAAAGGAAACTGTTGGACAATCAATTAATGAAAATGGTTTGCAAAGAATATCACCCCCTTTCTATTGAGGATAAAGAGTTTAAAAAAATTATTGGGATGCTAAACAGTTCCTACAATTTGCCTAGCAGAAAATTTTTAACAATCAGCTCAATCCCATCTGTTTATGAGAAAATAATGGAAATGATAAAAAGTCAAATATCGGACCCTGGCATAGTAGCTTTAACCACAGATGCTTGGACTTCAACGGCAAATCAAAGCTATATTGCAATAACTTCCCATTTTGTAGAGAGTGAATGCAATTTAAGAACTTTCATATTAGAATGCTTTGAAATGCCAGAAAGTCACTCTGCAGACAATCTGTGGAGGTAATTTATGAGAGTAGTAAGAAAATGGAACCTATCAAAAATTATTTGTGTCACAACAGACAATGCGACCAATATGAATGCAGCTGTTAGTTTATGTCAATGGACTCAAACGAGATGTAATTCCACTTCGCAGATTCCGAGATTATAATGAGAGACTGTGATGGTGAGGTAATTTTTTAAAAATTATTAGTCGTTTGATTTATTTATTTTAATTAGAAATGAGTGAATGGTTTTTATTTCTTTAATAATTTCTTGTAAAAGCTGATTACTGGTGATCTAGAACGCTGTTCCCAGATGAAAATATTGCGCTAAGTGATACAGATCATTATTTGGTGTGTACTGGTCACCTAAAAGGTCTAACATTCGAAAGTGGCACAAAAATATACCTGACTAGTAAAAAATTTTGTATCCAACTAGCCTCTCCGAAACATATACTTGATTGTGTCGGACTTAATTTCCGATCCCCTTCTTGTCATCGACTTTCTGGCTGTCAACAACTTTTTGGAGGGAGTTGAGTCCTCCCTTTCTGTTGTTTCATTTTGATAAACGTGATACTTTTCATCGTAAATATCTTAAACCAACACAACGTCGTAGACTTATGCACTCAAGATGGAATCGCAATATCGGATAACGTATCTTTCTCCATTTAATGATACCTTTGATTTGAAGTATAATGGACAAAGAAAAATCAGCGTGGCAGCCGGTCTAAAACTAATCCCTCAAGCAATAAGTAATTCTACCGAAAACTGATTTCTTCGGATAAAAAATTATCAGTTCGGGGGTCTCTTTCTTTTTTTTTTTTTCTTCTTCTCAAGATTATAAATAATCTGAAAGCTATCGAGAGTTTTATGTATTTTCATAACTAGTATCACTTTTCGGACAAACATTTGGGTATGGGGTGAAATTAGATAAATAAAAATAGAATGTATTTTATCTATAGACAGACTAACGTCTCATTTCGAATAAATATTCGATAGGGATTGGAAGTGTACTCTTTAACTGCTAATGATAAACCAACGTGTGTGTGCGTTTCTATCTATAGACAGACTATCGCCTCTTTTCAAACAATCATTCGATTAGGGTTGGATCATTGATAATGATAAAGCAACATGTGAGGGTTGAAAAGGAGTTTATCCACAAAATGTTGTCGTCCCGTACACGTCTACTGTATTTTCGAAGGCATTCCCCCTTTTTCTTTTGTTGTTGTTTCAAATACCACCGCTGATTAGTTTGCAATATATAAGAGGTTCGTTTTCACGGTGATAAGTGTCAGATACATCTCGTTCATTCGAGTGTGGTGGTTACAGCAGAAACTGAAAACAGTTTATTGCTCCGAACATGGATTTTGACATCGATATGGGAGATGCCGAAGCAGATCAGGCTATTATGGATATACCCGAAGTAAGTGACATTTAATTTAATTTTATTTTTCTATTTATTAGCAATTAAGTTTTTTTTTTTATTTAAGCATTAACCCATTAAAGGAAGAAGAAAGAATCCAAGTATTTTCTTTCTCTTTATTCAAACATTTTATTTATTTATTTATTTTTAAATAATGCACAACTTTTTTCCTTGAATCTCTTCTCTGTTTATTATATCCCTATAATGATATTGTTTTTCAATTTTTAGGAATTGTTAGAAAGACTAAGGAAAGAGTATCCTTGTCCCAATGCACAGAAATCTGCGAAGCGGGAGGGATCCATTGATTCTTCGAGAGAATGCAGTCAACCAAAGCATCGTTTCAGACAAATCAGCAGCTCTGATGATGATGATATGAATGATCCGGTAGCAGACCAGGCGATTCGTCACGTTAATATATACACGAAGTAAGTAACATCCATTCTTATTTTATCTATTTATTTAATTTGAATAATTTTAATATATTATTTTCTTAATTTTCTTTAAAATTAAAATAGTTCTAATAAAACATAAGTCTATTGAAAATAGGAAAGTGATCGCAAATATTTTTCACCTCTTTATTTAATTACTTTTTAAGAAAAAATAAAAATCATGTCATGTAATCTTCGCTAGCTATATTTCCCATAGTAATGTCAATCTTGATTTTTTTTCTATTTTAGAATGATCCAGAATTGGGTGGTGAATATTCTGATAAGCAAGAATCTGTGAGACGGAAGAGAGTTTTCTACGGAGATTCTCGATAATTTCTTCAAGTTTATATTATTTTTTTTAATACTTCTCAATGTATATTTTCCAATGTTTCTTAGAGTTCGTTCTTTAATTATATCTTTATTCCTTCATTGTTTTCTTAAAGCTTATTTTTCAATGTTACTTAAAGTTTTTTATGAATGGAAAACATATACCCCCGAGTAAATTTATTCGTTTATACGATTAACTCTTTCTATATTTCTTTAAATTCCATTATTATTTCTTTGCTAAAATAAATTTTTGAACTGGAAATAATTGTAATAGAAAACATATAGTCTTTTAAGGAATTAGTTAGAAAAGGAAATTGGATGTAGGAAAATAATAAAATGTTCACGATCGATAAAAAATAAATAAATAAATAAAATAATGGGTGGGACATTAAAGAGAAAAAAAAAATCTGTGTTTAAAACTCTTTTCAACATGTAATAATAATCAGTTTGTAAACTTTTGCGGCTTATTTTTTCCTCTTTTGTTATTTACAATGCGAGTGAGCAAGGAGTAGACGGAACGCCCGCTGACAAGGCAACCCCCGAAGGGAGGAGAGCGTTGGAGAGTTTCAAAAGCCTGATGTTGCATTCTAAAAAGAATAAAGACTTATTGCTTTTTTTAAATGATATAAAATCACACTTGGCGGATACTCTCCAATTTGAAATTTACGCAAACCACATCAAGTGGCATTTGTGTGTGAAAGCACTCTTCTCTAGAACTGCTCAACAGGGCGGAGAAAGGGAATTGACAACTGGATATTTCCGAAGTTGTCAGGAAATTTCACTTAACTGTGACACTTTAAAAGAGCAAGTGAAATGTGCATTCGCGAAGATCATTTCTTCTTTTGACGAATTCGTAGACAGAGGGAGTGGTTGGGAGTTGGAAGAAGTCCATTATTTAGAAGTAAATACTGCTCTTTATATCCCTTTAAATGGTTCCTCCTACATCCCCCTCCCCTCAGAAATAGCTAAAAGGCGAGCGGTGTTAAATATACAAAATAGAGGTGATGACAAATGTTTTTTATATAGTGTGCTAGCTGCAATTCACCCATGTGCAAACGTGAATCATGCCAACCGTCCATCAAAATACAAACCTTTTGAAAATAGCTTAAATTTAACAGGGATAACATTTCCTATTATCGAGATAGGAAATTTGCTTCGTGCTCCTACCCCCTTAAGAAAATTTCTAGAAATAATATCTTCTATGCAAGGTTTATATGTTATGTAGACTTGCGGCGTCACACCATAAATGGAAATGTTTGATAAAAATACCTCGATTTCCATCACGTGTTTGTTAAAACTGTTGCTATTGGTTGATAAATGCTTGAAAAGCAATGTAGTTCAGAAGCTACCTACCATTTTTCTAAAAGTTCTTTCTGTGAGACGTTACTGTTCCATTCTATTCAACTATGAAACGTTCTTTAGCTGTAATGGAGGAGAGTGCTAATGCATCCACCCCTTCATCACCTACTCTCACGGGAAATGGTGTAGTTCTACCAAATCATCACTATTATCTTGGTGGATTAAATTATGTAGGTGTAACCTACTTCTCTGGTAATGTGTTAATCCATCTGAGACAATATCTGCAAGGTGAACATGGAAATCTCATCCCAACTAGGATTGGTACTACTCTGACTCCCTCACTCTGGCTTTCCATAGTGAAAAAAGCTGAAAACTATAAGGAATCTGTGATGGCCGAATAAGTGATTACTATGAACGATAATCTGTTCATTTCGAAGGCGAACCTCGACATTGAACCCCATGTAACTTTCCAGAGGTATTACAGGAAAAAAGACTTCTCGAGACAATTTTGTCCCACAATGTGCACGCTAACAGAGAGTGAATTTGAAAAACTTATGTGCGACAGTGATTTGCAGAAGCGAATATCATCTAGTGTGATCGAACAATTATATTGTCACGTCGTCCCTCATATTGTGTTTCAAGAAGTGAAGAAGTGTCCCAACCCTCCTCCTCCTCCACAAATCGATCAAAGTGACGTTGACTTACTGTTAACAACCTCGTTAGTAGAACTGCTAAAAACGAACTTAGAAGAGAAGGTGGCAACTTCATTTGAGTGTACAGGATGTGTACAGCACTATGAGAACCAACTGGGGCATGAATGTCTCACTTACAATTATGAACAAAAACTTTCAAGTTGTGGTGAAACGGCTATACTGGATATCAATATGGACCAATTAGCTCAAAACTTTGCAGAAATGAATCGACACATTTCAAATTACATAAATGCAGACTTTTTTTCGAAATTGAATACTACTATGTTAATGCGTAGTGCTAAAGAAATGTTTATAGCTTCGGACCCTTTTCCATTAAGAATGTTTTAATTCAACGTTTTTTCCTTTTCTTTAGGGAGCTATTTGCCGACCAGAGGCTTTCAGTGGTCACAAAATTTGGATATATCTGAAGAATACATCATATCAATGTCAGATGAAGGGGGGGGGGAATGATTCTTGAAGTTGATTTGGAATATCCCGCAGAGCTACATGATTTGCATAACGATTTACCTGTAGCTCCAGAACAGGAGAAAATAACATCAGAAATGCTCTCCCCATACTCTCAAAGAGCCGACTCTGAGTTAAATGCAACAAAAAACTGTAATGTATCAAAACTCGTACCTAATTTGAAGAGTAAAAATAAGTATATCGTGCATTATAGAAACTTAAAATTATATTTAAAATTAGGATTAAAACTACACAAAATTTTATAATTTAAGCAGGAACCCTGGCTCCGCCCGTATATTGATTTTAACACCAACATGAGGAAAAATGCAGCTAATTCTTTTGATAAAGATTTTTGGAAACTGATGAACAATGCAGTCTTTGGGAAAAGTATGGAGAACGTGCGTAATCGTCTGAATATTGACATAGTCACAGATAAGAAAAAAGCCCTAAAATTAATTGCATCCCCTTCATTCCAATCTTTTAAAATTATTGATGATAATCTGGTTATTATAACTCGGCAGATCACGTCACTCACTCTCAATAGTTCTATATATACTGGTTTCTCAGTTTTAGATATCATTAAAACCTTTATGTATGAATTTCATTACAACCATATTAAAAATAAATATGGTAGTAAAGCGAAATTACTCTTTACTGATACCGACTCTCTTTGTTATGAGATTCTGACCGAAGATGTCTACCTCGACATGTCCCATCACCTCGATTTGTACGACACCTCCGACTATCCCGAAGATCATTTTTTGTACGAAACGAAAAATCGTAAGATACCTGGTAAAATGAAGGATGAATTGAACGGAACAATTGTAAGGGAGTTTGTCGGTCTTCGATCAAAAATGTATTCATTACTATCCGAAAATGGTGAAAAGAAAACGGCAAAGGGTGTTACAAAGCATGTGAGGGAAAAACGATTAAAACACACTTCATTTAAAAAATGTCTTTTCGATAACTGTCGAATCCGTGAGAACATGAAAACTATCGTGTCAAAAAATCACGACTTATTTTCCATTACCACTAATAAATTAGCCCTTTGTCCGTTAGATGATAAACGATATATCTTAGAAAATGGGTGCGATACTTTAGCATACGGACACTTTAAAATTGGGAGCATGTAACTCCCCATTTATTTTATTTATTTATTTTTATATTCGCGCAGCACATTTCCCATCTCTTTTAAGTGAATCTATTTACCAAAAATTTGTAAAAATGAAATCATTGTGATTGACAATTTTTTTTTCATTGTTTCATCCTCCAAATAATGAGGTAACTATTGTAAATATTGTACTCACTTTTTATTGAATAAAAAAAGTTTGATTTTATTTATGTGTCTTTATTGTCCACAAATTATCATGAGATTACTGTTTCAAAGCAAGTCTTTAACTATTTTATTTATTCATTATTTATCAAATTCCTCGCAATTTCTCTCTTTCTTTTATATCAAATAGAAGTCAGTTTATTCACTAGATGGAAGTTGGAAAAATATAAATAATTTTTAAAAAATTTTCATTTTACACATTCCATTTTTAAATTTATTCACCAGATGGAGTCACGAATCGTGGATGGGAAAAGAATACTAACATTTTTAACTGCTTTCAATAAAAACCTTAATTTTCTTTCAATCCGTATGTGTTCATAGTCTGTTAGTTAGCGTCTGCGCTAAATTTGAGATTGAGTGGTATGAGACGCCCAAGTAGGATGTAGAGCCCAAGTGGGATGAGGGACTCACTGGGATGAGGCGCCAAGTGGGATGAGGGACTCAATTTTCTACTACTATCGTTTGCTTTCAAAAACTGTAAAAAATTGCGTTTTATAGATTTTGGAACAAAATTTTAAAATGAACTTAAGTAACTAAGCTGTTATAAACCTACTTTTTAGCACAACTAAGTATGTTACGCTGGAGTAAGTTAAAATAACATAAAAATAAATAGTCATACTTGTCTTAGTTTTATAGTTTAATTCCTTAAATAAGACGTTTAAGAGCAAACGATGTTTTGCATCTCGTTATAGACAAAGACATATCGATTGCATTTTTTGCTNAGATTTCTGAAACTACGGAAATTCCGTAGCAGTTGGAGGGTATGCATTTGCATAATGAATGATGAATAATGACTAAACATTTTCATATGAATTATAAATTATTTCAGAATAATAATTTATAATTCATATGAAATTGATTGAATCATATGAATTATAAATTATTCTGAATAATAATATTATTTCAGAATAAATTTAGTCATGAATAAAATTTTCGTGAATGATGCCCATCACTGCTCCTTGGTCACCGATTGATAATAGCCACGTAAAACTTAAGCCAACAATTCGTCCGGATGGTAAACCCTACTTTCATGGGATATGAACGCCCAAAAGAATCCTGGAGGGAAAGAGAGCAGATCGAACCATCAAAATTATTGGAAATACAGCAAAAAAATATTGTTGAGAGGAACATGGCCGAATGCAAATATTGGGTGGCTGATTACCCCACAACTCACGATCATGATCAGATTGGAACTTTTTTGTATCATCTTCCATATCATCAGGTGGAATATCAGCCCCGACAATTTGATCGCCGTGTTTGCAAGTTTTCATTTCAGCCTTCTTTTTTTAATATATATATTTCTGTATAAAATAAAACTCATGTATGCCATAGACTCCAAAACAGACCCGAATTTTTTAGAAACCTCTTTAGCTACTTCCTGATCCTCCATCTGCAATGATAAGGACTTATATAAAAAGTGAACATTTAAAAATAATATATACATGCTTTTTAAAATCTAATTTACATTTTATTCTTCATCCTCCATATCATCAGGAGGCATATCAGCTCCACGTTCAAGACCTGTATTATTAACAGGCGGTTGACTACCTGGCGGGTCAATTGTAGGTTGAGGTAGATTAGCTTCAGGTTGAGAAGTATCTGGCCCTGGGGGGTCTCTTTGTAGAACTCCATAAGGTGGAGGGGGAACAATAGCCACGTTTCTGTCGCGACCGCCTACTTCAACTATTTCAAATGAATCATCTTAAAATTAGAATCTTCCTACCTTGTACCCAAGTATTCTCCCGTTAATCCGAAATGGTGAACAGCTGTAACTTTTGGTTTAAGTCCACAAGAAAAATCATAATTAATTTAAGTCATTCAATAAATCCGTTATAAATAATTATACATAACACATAACAACATTAAAAAAATACGCTAGCTTTATCATCATCAGACATCAAAACCGTTGGAGGAAACTAAAAACAAGCTTCCCTCGTCAAAGGTTGACGTACTCATCGGCGGTGCAACGGAAGATGCTGGAGTATTGTAGGTAATTAGTTGTATTAATATTTACCTGTTACTTGTTTATTGTGGACTCTTAATGCAAAACAAAAAAAATTTCTTGTTTTATGTAGATATTTCGAGGAATGATCTATGCAGATATTAGATCTGATGTAGATATTTCGAGGAAAAATTGTTTCATATTTAGAGAAGAAATCATTAGAATATCTGGTGTTGATCCATCGTGGTAAGTTTATATTAAATCATTTTATATTAATGTAAATTAGCTCAAACGAGTGATTCTCACTTTCTTTCCAGTTATATATCACAATTGCATCATCATGCATGGCTGTCTACAGGAATAGACATTGACAATCAAAAACTATAGCTATGGTTCCTGTGAATGGGTATACAAACAGAACAAATTTTAGTGCAGGCGCCATAAGATGGTTGGAATTTGCGGCTCGCCAGGAAGACATTCAAATTCCATGGAATACCCATTATCGAACATGGAAGATATTGCCTAAATTGTTCGCATGTAAAATCTCACCCTGATTTAAAAAAAGATGAACGTTTCATTCTTGAACAACAAATTAAAGATATGTTTGTATTCGATTCAGGAACCAGGGAAGAGTGCAGAGTGAGCTGAAATGTTTATAAAAATGATGCATAAACAATCTCGTAGCAGCGTTATAAACAATTGGGCCCGAGGCAAAAGACTACCTATTGCCTACAAGCGTACAAATGCCCAAAATGTCACGCAGAATTAGAAGCGTCTGTTTGTCCTCGCAACAAGCATAGATGTAACCATTTTACTTGCCTTGCCTGCAAAATATATGTGCCAAAAGAAAACCATCTCTGCTATATGACCAGGATACAACCAAAAGCTGCATCTTTTTTTATTTCGAGACTGATCAGTCCTCAGGTACACACGTTGTCAACTTTGCAGTGGCCCAATATTAAAAAGGGGAAGGAGCGGGTTTTTTCTGGACCTGGTGCGTGTAGCGAGTTCTGCCTTTTCCTGTTTTCTGCTGATCACAAGAACTTCACAGCTATAGCACACGATTTAAAAGGGTTTGATGGGCAATTTATTGTACACTGGCTCATCAATCAAGATGATAATTTTTTTTCATATTTTTATTTAGTCTATATTTTGTCACAGGCATGATCTTAAAAATGCTTTTTTTTTTCTTTATATTTCAGGTCGCAAACCAAGTGTTGTTCCGAACGGAACAAAGTTGATGCGAATTGAGTGCATGGGCGTTACATTAATTGATTCGTTCAATTTCCTGCCCATGCCTCTAAGAAAGCCGCCAAAATCTTTTGGAATTGAGGAAATCAAAAAGGGGTTCTCTCCACACAGATTCAACAGGCCAAAAAACCAAAATTATGTGGATAAATTACCTTCCAAGGATTTTTTTGATCCAGATATGATGTCTGTATTAACTCGAGTGGCATTCAACAGTTGGTACGAAGAGCGACGACATCAGCCTTTTGATTTTCAAAAAGAAATGCTCGAATATTGCAAGTAAATTTGGGGGATCTGCAATCATCTTTGAAAAGTATAATTATTTTTTCTTTTTACTAATTGGTTTAATTTTTCTTTTAGAAGTGATGTCGATATCTTGAGGAAATGCTGCTTGGAGTTTAGGAGACAATTTATTCATGCTGGTAATGTTGATCCTTATCAGTATCTGACCATTGCGTCATCTTGTATGTCCGTTTTCGGCGGGCATCATATTCTGCCTAACACGATAGTTTGTACTCCACCTCGTGGCTATATCACCAATTTGAATTATAGTAAGGACTCAATTAGAGCGGAAGCAGGGTATGTTTATTCAACATGCTCTTAACAGCACAGGTGAAAAGAAGATAGCGGGCGTGTTTGTAGATGGATATTGTGAAGAGTTACGTACCTTTTACATGTATCACGGATGCTTCTTCCACGGATGTCCGAAGAGCTTTGATGCTGATGTGGAAAATAAATTAATACAAAAATGCGATAATTGTTCTCATAAACAGAGAAAACCAAGAACAGGCTTTTAAACGCTGGATACAAGTACGTTGAAATGTTAGAGCACGATTTCCAGTCACTAAGAAAGGAAATTCTTAGTTGAATTCAAGATGTTGAGATAGTAGATCGCCTCAATCCACGAGACTCAATTCTTTGGAGGTCGTATTAATGCAGTGAAGTTGCTTTACGAAGGACCCGCACACTATTACGACTTTGCAAGTCTGTATCCTTTCATCAATAAGTACAGTAAATACTCTGTAGGTCATCCGACTATAATTACTGAGAATTTTGGAGACACACACGAATACTTCGGCATAGTTAAATGCCAAATTCTTCTTCTGAGGACTCTGTCACTCAGTTTTGCCCGTTAAATCTAACGGAAAATTGATACTCCCTCTCTGTCAAAAGTGTGCGGACACGCTACAGCAAGAAATATGTAAGCATTCAGACGAAGAACGCATGCTAGTGGGTACTTTGGTGAGTGAAAAAGTGAAAAAAGCTGTGGAAAAGGGATATCTTGTGAAAAGGTAAATATATATATATATATTTTATTATCATTGATTAAATCATGTGAACTTTTTTTTTTCCATTTCATTATTTTATGTTTAGATATATGAAAAGTATCACTTCACAGAATCGTCAACTGAGTTATTTTCTTCTTACATTAATTTGTTCTTGAAGATAAAACAAGAGTCGTCTGGTTGGCCAAGCCACTGCAAAACAGAAGAAAAACTGGCATATATTTGTAAGTATGCGGAAAAAGAGGGATTGTCCACAAATAACTCCCTATTGGCCGTACTTGGTAGAGTAGATAAAAGTTCGTTTATTTTGATGAGAAACAACGTCACGCAAATAACACTTCCTCGCGGAACTCCTTCAAGCTGGTTAAAAACATCCGATAAAATTGAATTGATGCTTACCTGAAAAGTCCCGTCAGCTAAAAAGTTTTCAATGAAATTTATTATTAGCATTACTTTTCACTGACTCTTATTAACTATGGATAAAACTCAAATGTTAGTATTTCCTGTTCAGTAGATCGTTAGTCACATTCCTTTAAGTGTTGTATTTTTAAAGCTTATTTAATTTCTTTGCTCTTAGAATTTTGCATCGTTGAATTTGTAAAAGAAAAGGTTTCCGTGTCGTCCCTTTAGAATGGCTAAATGAAGAGGCAGAAGGTTGGTACCTCTACTGGTTCCCATCGCGTGACTTGAGGTCAAATTTTCACTTAGTTCAGTTTAAAAAGTCTGATATAAATATAAGTGTATATTTGTTTAGTAAGGATGATTCTATTGCAAATTTATATGAATTTTAATATGGTAAATATTTTTTAATGTAGTAATTATTATCCTTTATGCTTGTATTATCATTAGGGGCCTCGGGGCACTGT